GAAATATGAAAGATATTTCTACATTTGTGAAATATTTCATTATACATTTTATATAGATGTTGTGAAAATTTTCAATTTTTAAATTTGTAACTGAATAAACGACTGTTTCAAATTTTAGAAATTTGCAAGATATTTAAAATTTTTATAGAGAATGTGAGAAATCTTTGATTTTTTTTTTTTTTTTTTTTAAATTTGTACCTGAATGAAATTCTGTTTCTAGAATATCAACTATTGAGTAAATTATAAGATTTTGTGAAATATGTCACCATTTGAGTGACTTTCTAAAAAAAATTAGAAGATTTTGTGAATCATTTCACTTTTCAGTTGAATTTTTAGAAACATGAAAGATATTTCCACATTTGTGAAATATTTCACTATACATTTTATATAGATTTAGTGAAATTTTTGCATTTTTTTATACCCTCCACCACCATCAGTGGTGATAGAGGGAATATATAAGTTTGTCGTTCCGTGTGTAACACCAAGAAATATTCATCTAAGACCCAACAAAGTATATATATTCTGGGTCCTTATCAAATTCTGAGTCGATTTAGCTATGTCCGTCTGTCTGTCTGTCTGTGTAAAACACGCTCACGTTAAAATTAAGCAAAGGAAATCAACCAAATTCACCCAAAATATTTACTATTATCCTATGCAGTTTGGTATTGAAAATCAGCAAAATCGGTTCACAACATAAAAAGTAATGAGTAAAAATTTCAGACTACCTCGAAAAAAATTACGTTTTTTTCATAATTCTTTTGAAGTTTTTTCAGAAACTACCAAAGATATTTCGATGAATTTTGTCACACATTATTTTTTTAGGGCAGTGATCAATTATGTTGAAAATCTTTACAATTGGTCCAATATTTCCCATAGCCCCCATACAAAGGTATATATTCCCGGAAATTAGTTTATCGTTAATAACTCCCTCAAATATATTGGTATCAACACAAAATTTTCCACATGTAAAAATAATATGAACAGAAATTATACTGTCAACGTAGACCTCAGTAGGTCCACAATTGGTCATAGCTCCCATATAAGGTCCACTTCCGAAAATCACCTAAACGCACATATTTCATTGATGAATAAAGCTATTGTGATCAAATACGAGTAGAATATGTTTTGTATACATACAAATCATTCTACAAAATTTTTTCCGGATAGGCCCATAATTGGTCATAGCTCCCATATAAGGTCGACTTCCGAAAATCACTTAAACGCATATATTTCATTGAATTATAAAGCTATCGGGATAAAATTCGACACAAATCTGTTTTGTATACATACAAATCATTCTACAAAATTTTTTACGGATCGGTCCATAATTGGTCATAGATCCCATATAAGGCCCACTTCCGAAAATCACTTAAAAGCACATATTTCAATGCTAAGTAAAGCTATATTGATAAAATTCGAAACAAATATGTTTTACCTAATCATGAATCACTTTACGAATTTATTTCCGGATAGGCCCATAATTGGTCATAGCTCCCATATAAGGTCCACTTCCGAAAATCACTTAAACGCATATATTTCATTGAATTCTAAAGCTATCGGGATAAAATTCGGCAGAAATATGTCTTGTGTGCATTTAAATCATTGCACTATTTTTCTTACCGATCGGTCCCTTATTGGTCATAGCTCCCATATAAGGCTAACTTCCGAAAATCACTTAAAAGCACATATTTCAATGCTAAGTAAAGCTATATTGATAAAATTCGAAAGAAATATGTTTTACCTAATCATGAATCACTTTAGGAATTTATTTCCGGATAGGCCCATAATTGGTCATAGCTCCCATATAAGGTCCACTTCCGAAAATCACTTAAACGCATATATTCCATTGAATTCTAAAGCTATCGGGATAAAATTCGGCAGAAATATGTTTTGTGTGCATTCAAATCATTGCACTATTTTTCTTACCGATCGGTCCATAATTGGTCATAGCTCCCATATAAGGTCCACTTACGAAAATCACTTAAACGCATATATTTCATTAAATTCTAAAGCTATAGGGGTAAAATTTGACTTGAATAAGTTTTGTGTACATATTGGTCATAGCTTTCATATAAGGTCCACTTCTGAGAGTTACTTAAACACACAAATTTCATTGTCAAATAAAGTTGTCTTGAAAAAATTCGTCACAAATATGTTATGTCTTTATATAAATCACTCTACGAAATTTATTCTGGATAGGCATATAAAACATTCTACCAATTTTTTTCAGGATCGGTCCATATTTGGTAATAGGACCACTTCAAAAAATCCCTTAAACCCACATATTTCATTATCAAATAAAGATATCTTGATAAAATATGATTTGTGCACATATGAATCACTTAAACGCACATTTTATACATAGATATAAAATTTGACATAAATGTGTATTTTCTATATATGTATATAAATCATTATATGGAATTTTTTGCGGACCGGTTCATAAGTTGTCTTAGCTCCCATATAAGGTTAACTTCTGAAAATCACTTGATAATACTTAATTCGTTATTAAATTATTATATCCGGATAAAATTCGACATGAGTATGTTCTGTGTATAGATAAATCATTCTATTAAAATGTTTTCGAACTGGCGTATTAATATACATTTTTCTGGACCTAATCAAAATTAGTTCGACAAAAATTTTGGCAAGTTATCTAAAAATTAGATAGTTAGGTGGGTTTCAATAAAAAGTAGCTTGCTGGTGGAGGATATTTAAGATTCGGCATAGCCGAATATAGCACTCTAACTTGTTTTTTTTTTTTTTGAAATTTTTAACTGCATGAGCTGCAAGATTTTGGGAAATATTTCACTATTTGGGTGACTTTCTAAAATAAGTCGTTGACAAAATTAGAAGATTTTGTGAAATATGTCTCTATTCAGTTGGCTTTTGAGAAATTTGGAAGAAAGATATTTCTACATTTGTGAAATATTTCACTATACATTTTATATAGCTTTTGTGAAATTTTTGTATTTTTTTGAAATTTTTAACTGCATTTTGTAAAATATTTCACTATTTGTGAGACTTTCTAACAGAAATCGTTGACAAAATTAGAAGATTTTGTGAAATATGTCTCTATTCAGTTGGCTTTTGAGAAATTTGGAAGATATTTCTACTTTTGTTTCTAGAAAATCAACTGTTCAGTACATTGCAAGATTTTGTGAAATATTTCACTATTTCATTTTCATTTCATTTATTGTAATATTTTAAAGCCACATTTGGCCAATAATATTAATATTAATAAATACATATTAATAATAATAGTAAATATTACCGATTTTAACGAGTTATTTATAATTACAAGTAAAAACTATAAACTATGTCCCCCAGCCAAAAAGTAGCATAAAAGATATTTGAATATGTAAGACTCACAAAAATTGGTATGGTCCTTGTTAACGATAATTCCGTTAAAGTAAATTCAAAAGGAATGTGATATTTGTTCAGTTTACAACATACGTTATATTGTAACATCATTGTAAAGCAAATATTGTTCAAAAAAATAATAAATGAAAAAATACAACAAAAAATATAACAGCAATTATGTAAGAGGGATTTATTCATTCTCAGTATTTTCACAAATATACAAAAAAAGTTTTTTCTTAAAAACGTTTCTTGAATATGAAAAATTTCTTAAATGTCTAGGCAATTTATTCCAAAGACGAGATACTCTTACTAGGAATGATCGTTCAAAAATAGGAGTTGAAATACGAGGTAGAATAATTTGTACATTTCTGCAAGACCTTGAAAAGCAAAAATTATCACGTAGACTGGGTGGTATTGAGGTAGTAATAAGTCTATACAAAAATATCAATAGCCTAAAATTTACAAATTTACGAAATGAGCATCCCAAGAACCTCACAACATATGGGGTGATATGTTCTCTTATCCCCACATTAAAGACAAAACGGATAATCACGTTGAGAATTTTTTCCAATCTTGAAAAATATGTATTGTTAGTATCAGATGTCACTTCAATACAATAATTCAACAGCGATGTTAAAAGCGCCCGAGCAACAGTACGTCGAATACGCATTGGTAAGTAAATATCCGCATTAAATAATCGGCGCAAGGTAAAAATAATTCTCGGAGCAACGGCATCAATATGTTTATCAAAATTTAGTTTCTCATCGATAATTACTCCCAAACATTTCAAATCATCCACAATTTCCAATCTCCTAGAATCAACATATATATCTACAACATACTCATGGGGACTTCCAAAAGTCATGTACTTTGTTTTCTTCCAATTGATACTAAGGTTATTATTAAACATCCACGTTAATAAATTTTTAAGACAAAAATTCGTAACAGCTGTCAAAACATCCATAAATTGCCTATCGTTGCTAAAAAGCAATTGGACATCATCAGCAAAAATGAAGGGACTACATAGATGAAAATTTTTGAGATCAATAATCAAATCATTCAAGTATAAAATAAATAAGAGAGGCCCTATAACTGAGCCTTGTGGCACACCTTGAGTGATACCACGAATATCACTAAAGTTGCCTCCAACATCAACGTATTGTGAGCGACCATTCAAATAAGAATATAAAAGTCTACAAGCCGATCTTGAAAATTTAAATTCATTTCGAAGTTTTGATACAAGAATACAATGATCAATTCTGTCAAAAGCTTTAGAGAGATCGAGTGACAAGTTAACCCGACCCTGATCTAAATTCCTTCTAATTGCATCAGTCATTTCAACTAATAGAGAAGAAGTCGAATATCCCTTCCTATAAGCATATTGACCTTCACAAATTAAATTTTCCCGCTCTAGGTGTTTTAACATTTCAGTTTTTAGCAGGTATTCAACAATCTTAGAAATAGCTGGAAGTATACTCATAGGCCTCAAATTTCCCATAGACAATCCATGACCAGATTTGGGTATTGGGACAACCCTTGAGAGTTTCCAAGAAGATGGATAAACGGAAGTGGTTAATATAGTATTAACTATATGTAAAATGTGTTCACTTATGCTTGGAAATATTAATTTTACAAACCTTAATGGAATTCCATCAGGACCCACAGCATTTGATTTCAACTTATTAAAAGCGTCCAAAAGTTCCAACATGGAAACATTATTGAATGAGAAACATGGACCATTATCAATATAATTAAAATCAAATTCGTCTGCAACAACACCTGAGCTATAAACAAAATAATTATTTACCTCATTAGCGTCAATATCAAAGAATGCTGATTCGCGTTGAAGGCACCCAGCGTTTCTTAAAATTTTCCATAAATTAGCATTATCACATCTTTTGAATTTTTCAACACCTTCGCGCCTCTTGAACTTACGAATAATGTTCTTTGCTTTGTTTCGATATTTGCAATAGGTTCTCCAATTATTCTCCGTATGGGTTTCAAGAAAACCTTTGTATGCAATATCTCTTAAAGACACAGCATGTACAATTTCTCTAGAACCCATCCAAGACTCAAAACTACGATGATGACGATGACTAACAATGGGAACAAATGAAAATGCAGACTCAAGGAAAGTGTCTAACAATTTGATCTGACAATCAACATCATTCGTCTGATAAATTGATGAAAAATCAAATGAATTGGAAAAACAAACTAACCCAACCATATCAATACTGTTAAAGTCTCTAAACTCGAAGTGTTCTTCATTCACAATGCATTTCAAGGGAATTGAAATAAAAATGAAGGCATGTGCAGAATTCAAAAATGGACATTGAAACTGACCAGTAAAATTTACAATGGTTTCAGAGCTAATCATAAAAAAATCTATTAAAGACGATGAACGACGACCAATATTTAAATGTGTAGGCATCATGTTATGGTGAATGGAGAGTCCATTACGCCTACAAAACGCTCTAACAAGTTAAAATCACCCATAATCACTACATCTTTATAACCATAAAGTTCACCATGCAATTCCTCAAAAGCATTTAAATTGTTAAAGTTATCATTAGGTAAGTATACCACTCCAACAAGGACTTTTGTATTCCCTGTATAAACTTCCACAAAAATGGACTCGCAAACATTATACTCAGTCGATCTGAAAATTACCCTCTTTCTTAATTTATCGGCTACATAAATGCCGACACCACCACCTCTGCCTGCGCATATAGGACGATCATTCCTATATAATGTATAACCTGGAATAGATACACCCTTCATGGAAATATATGGCTTAAGCCATGTTTCCGTTACTCCAAAAACAATTTGGTTGACTTTCTAGAAAAAATCATTGTCTTTTTTTAAAAAGCAAAGATTTAAAAAGATTTTGTGAAATATATCTCTATTCAGTTGGCTTTTTAGAAATTTGCATGATATTTCTACATTTGTGAAATATTTCACTATTCATTTGACTTTTTAAAAAAATGTCCTAAAATCAACTGCTCAGTAATTTTCAAGATTTTGTGAAATATTTCGCTATTCAGTTGGCTTTTTAGAATTTTGCAAATATTTCAAATTTTTATAGCGAATTTGAGAAATCGTTGCAATTTTTAAATTTGTTAATGACTGTTTCTAGAAGATCAACTATTCAGTAAGTTGCAGGATTTTGTGAAATATTTCACTATTTATGTTACTTTCTAAAAGAAATCGTTGACAAAATTAGAACATTTTGTGATATATGTCTCTATTCAGTTGCCTTTTTAGAAATTTACAAGTTATTTTGTTTGTAGAAAATCAACTGTTCATCAGTACATTGCAACATTTTGTGAAATATTTCACTATTTATGTTACTTTCTAAAAGGAATCGTTGACAAAATTAGAAGATTTTGTGAAATATGTCTCTACTCATTTGGCTTTTTAGAAATTTACAAGTTATTTCTACCTTTGTTTGTAGAAAATCAACTGTTCAGTACATTGCAACATTTTGTGAAATATTTCACTATTTGGTTGACTTTCTAGAAAAAAAGTTTACAAACTTAGAAGATTTTGTAAAAGATTTCACTATCCAGTTGACTTTTCATAAATTTTGAAGATATTTCTAATTTTTTGAAATTTTGTGAAATCTTTGCATTTTTTTTTTAATTTGTAACTGAATGTAAGACTTTTTCTAGAAAATCAACTCTTCAGTAAATTGTAAGATTTTGTGAAATATTTCACTATTTAAGTCGCTTTCTAGAAAAAAATCGTAGAAAATGTCCTAAAAATCGAGCAGTCTATAGTGTTCAAGATTTTGCGAAATTTGTAACTTAATTTAAGACTGTTTCTAGAATAACAACTATTCAGTAAATTGCAAGATTTTGTGAAATATTTCACTATTTGGGTGACTTTCTATAATAAATCGTTGACAACATTAGAAGATTTTGTGAATCATTTCACTTTTCAGTTGAATTTTTAGAAATATGAATGATATTTCTACATTTGTGAAATATTTCACTATACATTTTATACAGATTTTGTGAAAATTTAGCATTTTTTAAATTTGTAACTGAATAAAAGACTGTTTCAAGTTTTAGAAATTTGCAAGATATTTCAAATTTTTATAGAGAATGTGAGAAATCTCTGATTTTTTTTTTAAATTTGTAGCTGAATGAAAGTCTGTTTCTAGAATATCAACTATTCAGTAAATTGCAGGATTTTGTGAAACATTTCACTATTTGAGTGACTTTCTAGAAAAAATCGTTGACAAAATTAGAAGATTTTGTGAATCATTTCACTTTTCAGATGAATTTTTAGAAACATGAAAGTTATTTCTACATTTGTGAAATGTTCACTATACATTTTATATAGATTTTGTGAAATATTTCACTATTTGTGAGACTTTCTAATAGAAATCGTTGACAAAATTAGAAGATTTTGTGAAATATGTCTCTATTCAGTTGGCTTTTGGGAAATTTGGAAGATATTTCTACTTTTTTTTCTAGAAAATCAAGATTTTGTGAAATATTTCACTATTTGGCTAACTTTCTAGAAAAAATCGTTGACAAACGTATGTCTTTTTTTAAAAGCAAAGATTTAAAAAGATTTTGTGAAATATATCTCTATTCAGTTGGCTTTTTAGAAATTTGCATGATATTTCTACATTTGTGAAATATTTCACTATTCAGTTGTCCTTTTAGAAATTTGCAATATACTTTTTATAGAGATTTTGTGATATCTTTGCATTTTTTATATTTGTAACTGAATGTAAGTCTGTCTCTAGAAAATCAACTGTTAAGCTGCAAGATTTTGTGAAATATTTCACTATTTGGTGATATTCTAGGAAAAAACTTTAACAAATTAGAAGATTTTGTCAAATATTTCACTATTCAGTTGGCATTTTAGAATTTTGCAAATATTTCAAATTTTTTAGCGAATTTGAGAAATCTTTGAATTTTTTTAAATTTGTTAAGGACTGTTTCTAGAATATCAACTATTCAGTAAATTGTAAGATTTTGTGAAGCATTTCACTATTTATGTTACTTTCTAAAATAAATCGTTGACAAAATTAGAAGATTTTGTGAAATATGTCTCTATTCAGTTGGCGTTTTAGAAATTTACAAATTATTTCTACTTTTGTTTGTAGCAAATGAACTGTTCAGTACATTGCAAGATTTTGTGAAATATTTCACTATTTGGTTAACTTTCTAGAAAAAACGTTTAGAAACTTAGAAGATCTTGTAAAAGGTTTCACTAGTATTCGGTTGACTTTTCATAAATTTTCAAGATATTTATAATTTTGTGAAATATTTCACTATTCAGTTCTGTATTAGGAAATTTTTTGAAATCTTTGCATTTTTTTTTTAAATTTGTAACTGTATGTAAGACTATTTCTAGAAAATCAACTCTTCAGTAAATTGTAAGATTTTGTGAAATATTTCACTATTTAAGTCACTTTCTAGAAAAAAAAACATAGAAGATGTCCTAAAGATCGAGCAGTCTATAATGTTCAAGATGTTGCGAAATATTTCACTATTAGTTGACTTTTTAGAACTTTGCAAGATGTTTCACAGAGATTTTGAAAAGTCTTTTTATACCCTCCACCACCATCAGTGGTGATAGAGGGTATATATAAGTTTGTCGTTCCGTGTGTAACACCAAGAAATATTCATCTAAGGCCCAACAAAGTATATATATTCTGGGTCCTTATCAAATTCTGAGTCGATTTAGCTATGTCCGTCTGTCCGTCTGTCTGTGTAAAACACGCTCACGTTAAAACTAAGCAAAGGAAATAAATCAAATTCACCCAAAATATTTATTATTATCCTAAGCAGTTTGGTATTGAAAATCAGCGAAATCGGTTCACAACGTGAAAAGTTATGAGTAAAAATTTCAGACTACCTCGAAAAAAATTACGTTTTTTTCATAATTCTTTTGAAGTTTTCTCAGAAACTACCAAAGATATTTCGATGAATTTTGTCATACATTATTTTTTCAGAGTAGTGATCAATTATATTCAAAATCTTTACAATCGATCCAATATTTCCTATAGCCCCCATACAGAGGTATATATTCCCGGAAATTAGTTTATCGTTAATAACTCCCACAAATATATCGGTATCAACACGAAATTTTGTACATGTAAACATAATATGAACAGAAATCATACTGTCAACGTAGATCTTAGTCGGTCCACAATTGCTCATAGCTCCCATATAAGGTCCTATTCCGAAAATCACCTAAACGTACATATTTCATTGATGAATAAAGCTATTGTGATAAAATTCGAGTTGAATATGTTTTGTGTACATACAAATCATTCTACCAAATTTTTTACGGATCGGTCCATTATTGGTCATAGCTCCCATATAAAGCCCACTTCCGAAAATCACTTAAACGCATATATTTCATTGAATTCTAAAGCTATTGGGATAATATTCGACTTGAATATGTTTTGTGTACGTACAAATCATTTTATAAATTTTTTACCTGTCGGTCCATTATTGGTCATAACTCCCATATAAGGTCCACTTACGAAAATCACTTAAAAGCACATATTTCATTATCAAATAAAGCTATCTTGATAAAATTCGACACAAACATGTTTTGTCCAAATATGAATCACTCTGCGAAATGTTTCCCGAATAGGCCCATAATTGGTCATAGTTCCCATATAAGGTCCACTTCCGAAAATCACTTACACGCATATATTTCATTGAATTCTAAAGCTATAGGGGTAAAATTCGATTTGAATAAGTTTTGTGTACACATGAATCATTCTACCACTTTTTTCTCGGATCGGTCCATTATTGGTCATAGCTTCTATATAAGGTCCACTTCTGAGAGTCACTTAAACACGCATATTTCATTGTCAAATAAAGTTAATTTAAGAAAATTCGACACAAATAGGTTTTGTCTTAACATAAATCACTCTACGAAAACATTGTACCAAATTTTTTCTGGATCGGTCCATATTCGGTAATAGGTCCACTTAAAAAAATCCCTTAAACGCACATATTTAATTATCAAATAAAGATATCTTGATAAAATATGATTTGTGCACATATGAATCACTCTGCGAAATTTTTCCGGATAGGCCCTTAATTGCATATAAAGTCCACTTCCTAAAGTCACCTAAACGCACATATTTCATTGATTAATAAAGCTATTGGAGTAAAATTAGACCTGATCTTTTTCTGCATATAAATCATTATACGAAATTGTTTCCTGATCAGTCCATAATTGGTCACAACTCCCATATTCTGTGTATAGATATGTCATTCTATTAAAATGTTTTCGAACTGGCGTATTAATATACATTTTTCTGGACCTAATCAAAATTAGTTCGACAAAAATTTTGGCAAGTTATCTAAAAATTAGATAGTTAGATGGGTTTTAATAAAAAGTAGTTTGCTGGTGGAGGGTATTTAAGATTCGGCATAGCCGAATATAGCACTCTAACTTGTTTGATATTTTAGAAAAATATCCTAAAAATCAACTGCTCAGTAATTTTCACGATTTTGTGAAATATTTCGCTATTTAATTGACTTTCTAGAAAAATGTCCTAAAAATCAACTGCTCAGTAATTTTCAAGACTTTGTGAAATATTTCGCTATCAGTCGGCTTTTTAGAATTTTGCAAATATTTCAAATTTTTATAGCGAATTTGAGAAATCTTTGCATTTTTTTTTAATTTGTTAAGGACTGTTTCCAGAATATCAGCTATTCAGTAATTTGCAGGATTTTGTGCAACATTTCACTATTTATGTTACTTTCTAAAAGAAATCGTTGACAAGATTAGAAAATTTTGTGAAATATATCTCTATTTAGTTGACTTTTTAGAAATTTGCAAGATACTTTTACATTTTATAAAGATTTTGGAAATCTTTGCGTTTTTTTTAATTTGTAACTGAATGTAAGACTATTTCAGGAATATCAACTCTTCAGTAAATTGTATGATTTTGAGAAATGTTTCACCATTTCAGTAAATTGTATGATTTTGTGAAATATTTCACCATTTGAGTGACTTTCTAGAAAAAATCGTTGACAAAATTAGACGATTTTGTGAAATATTTCACTATTCAGTTGAATTTTTAGAAATATGAAAGTTATTTCTACATTTGTGAAATATTTCACTATACATTTAATAAAAATTTTGTGAAATGTTTGCATTTTTTTAAATTTGTAACTGACCGTTTCTAGAAAATCGAATATTCTGTAAATTGCAGGATTTTGTAAAATATTTCACTATTTGTGTGACTTTCTAAAATGAATCGCTGACAAAATTAGAGGGTTTTTGTGAAATATGGCTTATTAGAAATTTCGAAGATATTTCTACTTTTGTTTCTAGAGATTCAACTGTTCAGTACTTATTTTGTGACTATTTCTAGAATAATTACTATTCAGTAAATCCCAAGATTTTGTGAAATATTTCACTATTTATGTTACTTTCTAAAATAAATCGTTGACAAAATTCGAAGATTTTGTCAAATATGTATCTATTCAGTTGACTTTTTAGAAATTTGAAAGATACTTTTACATTTTATAGAGATTTTGGAAATCTTTGCTTTTTTTAATTTGTAACTAAATGTAAGACTATTTCAAGAACATCAACTCTTCAGTAAATTGTATGATTTTGTGAAATATTTCACCATTTGAGTGACTTTATAGAAAAAATCGTTGACGAAATTAGAAGATTTTGTGAAATATTTTACTATCAGTTGAATTTTTACAAATATGAAAGATATTTCTACATTTGTGAAATATTTCACTTTACATTTAATAGAAATTTTGTGAAGTATTTGCATTTTTTTACATTTGTAACTGAATGTAAGACTGTTTCTAGAAAATCAACTGTTAAGCTGCAAGATTTTGTGAAATATTTCACTATTTAGAAGATTTTGTGGAATATTTCACTATTCATTTGACATTTTAGAAAAATGTCCTAAAAATCAACTGCTCAGTAATTTGCAAGATTTTGTGAAATATTTCACTATTCCGTTGACTTTTTAGAAATTTGCAAGATATTTCAAATTTTTATAGAGAATGTGAGAAATCTTTGATTCTGTTTTTAAATTTGTAACTAGAAAATCAACTATTCAGTAAATTGTAAGATTTTGTGAAATATGTCACAATTTGAGTGACTTTCTACAAAGAATCGTTGACAAAATTAGAAGATATTGTGAAGTATTCAGTTGAATTTTTAGAAATATGAAAGATATTTCTACATTTGTGAAATATTTCATTATTTATTTATTTATTTATTTATTTTCGATGTCACATACAACAAGATATAGAATCTTATAAATTACAGTATGTGATATTACAAAGTTAATGACCATATGGTGTAAATGTTTACAATAATAATATTAATAATACAAAACATATATAAGGTAAATAATTATTTAAGACAACAAAAATAAAATAAAATTATTAGTATTATTAGGTTAGGTACAAGAGGCATAAATATAAAGTGTAATAATAGTTAGTATGAATGAAGAAAAAAGTTTAACTAAAAAACTCTATCAATTTACGTTTAAATAGCATTGCATTGCGAATGGCTTGGATATTAGAGGGTAGAGAGTTCCAAAGACGAGTAGAGCTTATTAAGAACTGCCAATCTGAGATTAAAGAACGATGCCTTGGTAAGATCAGTTTCAGTCCTCGGTTCGATCTTGCAAATCTAAGACGATTGAACAGATAGATTGGTTCCTTAGTGTAAATGACTTTATGCAATAGACTCAGAGATCTGATATTCATCAGGTCACTTATATTAACACCGTATAGTGATTTAGAGTAAGTAGACGTACCTTCATATCTTTTTAGGCAGTACACATAACGGAGAACAGCATTATACGCAACATTTATCCTACTAGCGCTTACAGTATCGCTATACGCAAAAATTTCACAACCGTATAAGAATTTTGGTATTACATAGCTTTTAGCAAGAAGTTCACGAATATGTGTTGGGGTTAAGTGTTGAGTGGGATATAATGTTCTCAGCATTGTAAACACGCAACCAGTGACTACATTTATATGTGAGTTCCATTTTAGTTCCTTGTTAAAGGTTATGCCCAAGTTCTTAGCTGATTGAACTATACCAATTTGTTTACTTCCTAAGGTGATCGAATTATCATTAAGGATCGCATCAATATGTGTGCTTTGTGATTTTTTTGACATAATGATACACTTAGATTTTTTTGGATTAAGTTGTAGTGAATTAGCAGATGCCCATTTAGATATAATTTCTAAATCCTGATTAAGTTTTGAAATGCATTCACTTATAAGGTTCTTTTGGCAGCTTAGATATAATTGAACATCATCCGCATACATGTGAATGCAGCAGTGTAACAGTTGCAACGGCAGATCATTGATATATAAGGAAAACAATAAGGGTGAAAATAATTTAACGAGTATAACCGCATCTGGTGAGTTTTGTTCCTTATTATTTTTATTTTGCAGACGGAAGATTGATTTATAGGCTGGAGTAGATATATTCAAGGCATAACATATGTTATCAAAGATGCCATTAAGATTCTCATCATTTCTGAATGGTATACCATTAATGCGAAGATCACAGGAAACTGTTAAATTTTCTTGTTTTTGCATTTGAGATTTAAGTGTATTTATTTCAGTTTTAAGCAATTTAATTTCTGAATACACTGTTTCGAGTTCAGTAACTCTCTCATTTACAATATGCATTTCACTCATTATATCGACAATACGATTATCTATCTCATTTAAGAGTCTATTTTCAGTGTTATTAATTTTGTTTTCAATTTCTCTTAATTTCTCATTCACTTGAGATATGATTCTATTTTCTGCATCTTTAATTGAGGATTCTAGTTTGGTAGTTATCTGTTGATATTGTTTGTCAAAACGTTTATCGAGTAAATGCATAAGACGAGTAGGAGAGAGGCAAAGGCGTGAACATTTTGCATCATTATCAAGAGGAGATGAGTTTTCTCTTTTATTTGCATTACTTTCCATTGTTTTTGTTTTGTTTATTTTCTTTTCTTATCCACTTATTAAGCTTAGTGTATAGATTGTGTGTTTGCGCTTTTTGTTTGTTTTCACTTGTTTATTTATTATTATTTGAGTTTTGAGTTTTTTTTCTTTTTAACTATTCCTTTTGAACTTATTTGTAACAAGTAATTCTACAATATATTCTATTAAATTGTTTAAAAAAAACGTTCTTGATTTACGGAGATAATTATACTATTTTGTAGAGATTTTTTTGTAGTTTAATATGATACTACGTATGACGTGTAAAACGAATTTTTATTTAGTTTAAAAAGACAAAAACACGGAGTAAAAAATAAAAACGTCCGGCCTTTTAAAATCTCTTTATACAATTATACATTTTTTTTAAATTTGGAACTGAATGTAATACTGTTTCTAAAAAATCAACTGTTCACCTGCAAGATTTTGTAAAATATTTCACTATCTGCGTGACTTACTAACAAAAATCGTTGAAAAAATTAGAAGATTTTGAGGAATATGTCTCTATTCAGTTGGCTTTTTAGAAATTTGGAAGATATTTTTACCTTGTGAAATATTTCACTATTCAGTTGACCTTTTAGAAATTTTCAATATACTTTTTATAGAAATTTTATGATATCTTTGCAATTGCAGTATACTTTTTATAGAGATTTTGTGATTTCTTTGCATTTTCTTAAATTTGTAGCTGATAGTAAGAGTGTTTCTAGAAAATCAACTGTTCAGCTGCAAGATTTTGTGAAATATTTCACCATTTGTTTGACTTAGAATTTTGCAAGATATATCAAATTTTTATAAAGAATTTGAGAAATCTTTGCATTTTTATACCCTCCACCACCATCAGTGGTGATAGTGGGTATATATAAGTTTGTCGTTCCGTGTGTAACACCAAGAAATATTCATCTAAGACCCAACAAAGTATATATATTCTGGGTCCTTATCAAATTCTGAGTCGATTTAGCTATGTCCGTCTGTCTGTCTGTGTAAATTAAGCAAAGGAATTCAACCAAATTCACCCAAAATATTTATTATTATCCTAAGCAGTTTGGTATTGACAATCAGCAAAATCGGTTCACAACATAAAAAGTAATGAGTAAAAATTTCAGACTACCTCGAAAAAATTACGTTTTTTTCATAATTCTTTTGAAGTTTTTTCAGAAACTACCAAAGATATTTCGATGAATTTTGTCACACATTATTTTTTTAGGGCAGTGATCAATTATGTTGAAAATCTTTACACTCGATCCAATATTTCCCATAGCCCCATACAAAGGTATATATTCCCGGAAATTAGTTTATCGTTAATAACTCCCTCAAATATATTGGTATCAACACAAAATTTTGTACATGTAAAAATAATATGAACAGAAATCATACTGTCAACGTAGACCTCAGTCGGTCCACAATTGGTCATAGCTCCCATATAAGGTCCACTTCCGAAAATCACCTAAACGCACATATTTCATTGATGAATAAAGCTATTGTGATCAAATACGAGTAGGATATGTTTTGTATACATACAAATCATTCTACAAAATTTTTTCCGGATAGGCCCATAATTGGTCATAGCTCCCATATAAGGTCGACTTCCGAAAATCACTTAAACGCATATATTTCATTGAATTATAAAGCTATCGGGATAAAATTCGACACAAATCTGTTTTGTATACATACAAATCATTCTACAAAATTTTTTACGGATCGGTCCATAATTGGTCATAGATCCCATATAAGGCCCACTTCCGAAAATCACTTAAAAGCACATATTTCAATGTCAAGTAAAGCTATATTGATAAAATTCGAAACAAGTATGTTTTACCTAATCATGAATCACTTTACGAATTTATTTCCGGATAGGCCCATAATTGGTCATAGCTCCCATATAAGGTCCACTTCCGAAAATCACTTAAACGCATATATTTCATTGAATTCTAAAGCTATCGGGATAAAATTCGGCAGAAATATGTTTTGTGTGCATTCAAATCATTGCACTATTTTTCTTACCGATCGGTCCCTTATTGGTCATAGCTCCCATATAAGGCTAACTTCCGAAAATCACTTAAAAGCACATATTTCAATGTCAAGTAAAGCTATCTTGACAAAATTCAACACACAAATTTCATTGTCAAATAAAGTTATCTTGAAAAACTTCGTCACAAATATGTTATGTCTTTATATAAATCACTCTACGAAATTTATTCTGGATAGGCATATAAAACGTTCTACCAATTTTTTTTTGTATCGGTCCATATTTGGTAATAGGACCACATCAAAAAATAAATCAAATAAAGATATCTTGATAAAATATGATTTGTGCACATATGAATCACTTAAACGCACATTTTATACATAGATATAAAATTTGACATAAATGTGTATTTTCTATATATGTATATAAATCATTATATGGAATTTTTTGCGGACCGGTTCATAAGTTGTCTTAGCTCCCATATAAGGTTAACTTCTGAAAATCACTTAATAATACTTAATTCGTTATTAAATTATTATATCCGGATAAAATTCGACATGAGTATGTTCTGTGTATAGATAAATCATTCTATTAAAATGTTTTCGAACTGGCGTATTAATATACATTTTTCTGGACCTAATCAAAATTAGTTCGACAAAAATTTTGGCAAGTTATCTAAAAATTAGATAGTTAGGTGGGTTTCAATAAAAAGAAGCTTGCTGGTGGAGGGTATTTAAGATTCGGCATAGCCGAATATAGCACTCTAACTTGTTTAAATTTGTAACTGAATGTAAGACTATTTCTAGAAAATCAACTGTTCAGTAAATTGCAGGATTTTGTGAAATATTTCACTATTTATGTGACTTTCTAAAAGAAACCGTTGACAGAATTAGAAGATTTTGTGAAATATATTTCTATTCAGTTAGCTTTTTAGAAATTTACAAGATATTTCTACTTCTGTTTCTGGAAAATCAACTGTTCAGTGCATGGCAAGAAATTGTGAAATATTTGACAATTCATTTGACTTTTCATAAATTTGCAAGATATTTCCACTTTTGTGAAATATTTTACTACTCAGTTGAACTTTTAGAAATTTTGTGAAATTTCAGTAAATTGCAAGATTTTGGGAAATATTTCACTATTTGGGTGACTTTCTAAAATAAGTCGTTGACAAAATTAGAAGATTTTGTGAAATATGTCTCTATTAAGTTGACTTTTTAGAAATTTGCAAGATATTTTTACATTTTATAGAGATTTTGTGAAATCTTTACCTTTTTTAAATTTGTAACTGAATGTAAGACTATTTCAAGAATATCAACTCTTCAGTACATTGTAGTAAATTGTGATCTTGACCATTTGAGTGACTTTCTAGAAAAAATTGTTGACAAAATTAGAAGATTTTGGGAAATATTATACTATTCAGTTGAATTTTTATAAATATGAAAGATATTTCTACATTTGTGAAATATTTCACTATATATTTTATAGAGATTTTGTGAACATTTTGCATTTTTTAAATTTGTAACGGCATGTAATACTGTTTCTAGAAAATCAATTGTTCAGCTGCAAGATTTTTAGAAATATTTCACTATTTGGTTGACTTTCTAGAAAAAAAAGAATTTGAGAAATCTTTGAATTTTTTTAAATTTGTAACTGAATGAAATACGTAAAAACTTTCATTACCATGTAAGCGGTTAAAATGCCAAAATTTACTTACACAATAACATTTTAAGTCATTATTTTAACACGGTGATGTCATTGGAGACAAGTACTTACCACAAACGATTACAAGTAATTTGAAAAAGTAGTCATTGAAAATCGCCTGAAAAACCGTATACAGCTTCTATATCTTCACTGGCAAGATGACTAATGATTTAGAAAGTATTTATATAATACATTATTAGTAAGACCTTATTAGACTACTTCTATGTAATCCAGACGATATGTAGTAGTCATTTGAAAAGTATATTGTTAGGTAAGTAGTTACAATTGAAAGCCATTACCCAGTTTTTGCTGGGACTGTTTCTAGAATATAAATTATTCAGTAAATTGCAGGAGTTTGTGAAATATTTCACTATTTGTGTGACTTTATAACATAAATCGTTGACGAAATTAGAAGATTTTGTGAAATATGTCTCTATTCAGTTGACTTTTTAGAAATTTGCAATATACTTTTTATAGCGATTTTGTGATATCTTTGCATTTTTTAAATTTGTAACTGAATGTAAGAAAATCAAATGTTAAACTGCTAGATTTTGTGAAATATTTCACTATTTGGTGATATTCTAGGAAAAATCTTTGACAAAATAGAAGATTTTGTGAAACTTAGAAGATTTTGTAAAAGATTTCACTATCCAGTTGACTCTCATAAATTTTGATGAAATATTACACTACTCCCTATTTCTACATTTGTGAAATATTTCACTATACATTTATATAAATTTTGTGAAATTTTTGCATTTTTTTGAATTTGTAACTGAATGTAAGACTGTATCTAGAAAATCAACTGTTTAGCTGCAAGATTTTGTGAAATATTTCACTATTTAGAAGATTTTGTGGAATATTTCACTACGTGAGTGACTTTCTAAAATAAATCGTTGACAAAATTCGAAGATTCTATCAAATATGTATCTATTCAGTTGACTTTTTAGAAATTTGAAAGATACTTTTACATTTTATAGAGATTTTGGAAATCTTTGCTTTTTTAATTTGTAACTGAATGTAAGACTATTTCATAAACATCAACTCTTCAGTAAATTGTATGATTTTGTGAAATATTTCACCATTTGAGTGACTTTCTAGAAAAAATCGATGACAAAGTTAGAAGATTTTGTGAAATATTTTACTATTCAGTTGAAATATATTTCCATTTGTGAAATATTTTACTATACATTTTATATAGATTTTGTGAAAATTTTGTCTTTTTTTTTTAAATTTTTAACTGAATGTAATACTGTTTGTAGAAAATCAACTGTTCAGCTGCAAGATTTTGTGAAATATTTCACTATTCAGTTGACTTTTT